CCCTAATTAGTGTTACATTCTATAATAACCAATTAATAAACAAAAATACAAATGAAGAAATAATACTAATAACTAATTTAAAATAATAAATAAAAATACATATGAAAATAAAATAAGATAACTAATATAAAAATATTACGTCACAATATGAAAATTTTATTAGAATTATTAAATACCTTATATAAGAATTTAGTTGAAAATCCAGGAAATATATAGATCTTGATATGAAGAATAATAAGTAGAAAAACTTAGGTTTGACAAGTGGATTACATAATAGTTATGCATGTATAATGTATTGTATAACTCTATTATAATATAATTATAAATTATTTTTATTTTGATTAATTATATGATTTTTATATGACATTCTCATAAATGTTATTTCTATAATAAAAAATTTTGACTTTAGTTAACTAACATTAGTCAAATACAAAAGAATTACTGTATCAAATGGTAATTCCTATATTATAGATCAACTAAAATTAGTAAAAATTGTTTATCTTATTGCATCATATATTATACATCAGCAAAAATCAGAATTTCTTTTTGGTATGACAATTCTTTTATATTTACCTGTGTAAGCTAACTAAGTAGATTTTAAAATATAAGTTTAACCAAGTTGATTTTTTAAAATTGACTTCAAACACTAAGCTCTTGTTTTAGATTTTTTAAAAGTTAATATTTATCAAATTATCATCTCTATAATAATTTTATTAAAATATCTGAAGGTTCAATTATTATAAAGCTTATATATTTACTTTGAACCATTTGATACAATGGGAAATGATTTTTTACTAAAATACTTACAAGGCCATTTGAAGGATCTCCTCTTAAGTTTCACAATGATAGTTATTTTTCTAGTATTGATATATGTCAAGTTGTTGTTGTTAGAAAATATTGCACTTTACATTAGTTTTATGTGATGGAAGATTATTATGTGAATAATTGCAAAATCTACAATAGTTGTGAAATGACATAATCCACAGTAATTGCAGGCATCTTTATTGGAATACATATTTTTGTCTTTTTCTCATGAACATGTATCCAAGCCTATTAAACATCCTCTGATAATCTCTAGTAACACAAAAAAGGATTGTCAAAATAATATAATTATTGCATACACAAAATAATTTCTTGTTTGCCGACTTTTGAAATTGTTGCATTTTTTTTGAAGATTCATTTAAAGCATGTTAAATAATTGTAATAATTGTTTTAGATTAGACCCCACAATATTAATTTACTTTATTAATTTACATAGATAAATTCATAATGATTTCTTCACGGAATGGATGGTCAATTTCATTATGTACTAAATAGGGGTTTGTTACACTAACTATCAAGTTTATGAAACAAGGAGTTTTTCTTAATAAAGTAGAGATGAAAGAGTTGTTTATTTAATTTTCTGGAGATCCAAAACGTGTATTCCAGTAAATAAATCCAAATTTAGTCGGAATGAAAGGGAAAAATTCATTCTTATTTATATAAGATTATCTAATAATCATCTCATCTTATGAACTTAAAAGATATTGTGATATTTGTAAATATCACCCAAATACAGGGGAATATGTTGAAAAATAGTTAATAATATATAATAAAAATTTTTTTTTAATTTTTTGGTTTTTTTAATATTTTTTTTTGATTTTTGTAATTTTTTTTTTTAAGGTTTTCGTTCAGTAAGTACGATTAATTTATTATCAGTATAATCTCTCCAGCTGCAAGTATATGTATATTGTATTGAAATAAATCGCCACAAGAGTTAACCGGGGAAAGATCTTTAACCAACATCCAACATCCGACATTCCCTCACGCCTTATTTCATGATCTTCCTCCGGTTATTCTCATTTAAATCAAAGTGTCCGGCAGTAAGATTTAACCTAAATTAATAAAATCGAAAATTTTAATTTAAAGTTCAAGGACTTTGCAAAAATCAAAAATAAATACTCACTGAGATCTGTCAAAATAAATTATATATAGATTCTTAACATAAAAAAAATTGAAATCTTTTTGTTATAAAAAATTACGGATTTCCAAATAATAAGAATAATGGATAAATAAATTTGAAATCTCTGTGGGGTTTGATTGATTTTTATACAAGAATTATATCGAATTTTTTTTTTTTTTTTTAAGAAAATATATATATTTTAAAGATTCTACAATAAATCGAATAAAAATAAATAAGATAATCAATATCTTTTTTATTTATATTATATTCTATTATGATAGTATAGAATTTTTGGTCGTGATCCATTTCATCATGTAAAATGAGTTCGTTGTGCTTTTGATGCTGGTAATAATTTTTGATTTGTCATAAATTTAGAATCATTCAGTTCGCCCAAAAATTCCTCTAAATTCCTTTTAAATGACGAAGTTACCAATGCCCGATTAGAAAATAATGAACTATCTCTAAGGTTCTCCAAAAGGTTTTTCCATTTATACCTTTCTCCGTTTTGACCATCTGTTTCAGAAGATTCAAACTTTCTCTTTTTCTCTATCACAATATATGAATCATTATTTTCATTAAATTGTTGCGTAGGGGGAAATGAACTTTCAGTTTCTCGATTGAAAATAGGTGCACTCGAATTATCAATTGTCATTTGAGTAAAAGTAATAGACATTTGAAATAATCTTGGTAAAAAACCTTTGAAAAATGGACTCAGTATATCATTATGAGTAGCTTGAGATAAATATTGTAAATGATTTGGTTTAAAAGGAACAGAGTTATTACAATAAATCCCCCAAATATTTAATGCATTCTTGAAAGAACACAGCTTCCAATCCGATGGAATATCAACATTAGGATTCGCTATTAATTGTTGATTGATACTAACACGAGTTTTTAGAATATCATCGAAGCAAATTGATACAATCTCGGATTCATTTTTAAACTCTCGAATAACCCAATTATAAAATCGAGACGATAATTTAAGTGAAGTGATATTATTTCTTTGGTTGCTATTAAAAATATTACTACTACCCCGAATATTTGCAAAATTTGAAGAATCTGCAGAAGCAGCTGTTGAATTATAATTTGTAATAGATTTTATTGCTTTCAGAAAAGCTTTCTCTTGAAATTTCTCTAAATGTTGTTGCATTTGTTGTATTTCATAATCCGTAATTTTAGGGAAATATTTATTAAAATCCATAATATTGATATGATAAGCTAATTTTTGGTTTAAAAAACTCCATAAATTAGAATTTTTAAGATTACGTTCTGGCTTAATCGATTCTTCTATAACTTTATTTGTAAAATTTTCGATGGAATCTTTATAACTCTCCGTCTTGATTTTTAAAATACTCTCAAATAAGATATCCCCAACTTCGGTTAATCTATTTTCGAAAAGTTGTAAAATATCACCAATTACAGAATATGTTAAATTAAATCCCAAATTAATGAGCTCATCAAGTCTTTCGATTACTTTTGTTGCATCAGGTTTAGCGTAATTTGGAGTTGGAGAAGGTGGAAACAAAATAAGGGTTGCACCTTGCATTACTAAATCATTAACATCTTCACAAATTTGATAATATCCTATTTCAATCCACATCGGAACTAAATCTTTACATATTAAAATAGCGCGAGCTATAACGTTTAATTGCCTGCTATTTTCATATCCATCTTTAGGAGGGTATTCTTCGGGTATTGACGGTAAATCATTTTTTTTAGGTCTTGGGGGAAATGGAATAAATTTCATTTTATGAATTAATTCTTTAATATTATCCATATTTCTAAATAGAATGTCTGGTGCATCACTTATTACATGTGGACCTGCCGACAAAAAATGAAAAAGTTCCATATCATTTCCTTTGGCAGTTAGTTCTTCGATTTTTAGTTGACTAGAGGCCTCCGAAATTAAGAATGTGAATACAGGGATAGATAGATTGGAGGCCCATGGGGATTTAACTTTTTGTTTAAGTTTTTCTTCATCAATTTGGCCAGCATTATGTTCAATTTTTAATTCAATGAGCTTTTTATCGTATTTACCAAAATGCATCAATAATCGCTGTATAAAGTATCTCGACAAAATTCCATTATTTGCTAATATACATTTTACCAAAGGAATATTTATAAAGTTGGGACCTAAACGAATAGAATGAAAGAGAGCGTGTGCTCGCCCATATTTGCGGATGATCCATTTTGCACGTGCAGTTGGTCTTGAAGAGATATTATAAAATCTCTTACATGATAATGTTAAGTTATATGGAGAATCAACATATTTAAATAAATCATTCCCAATTATTTCGATATTTAATATGTCGAATATTGTCATTTTTTTTTTTTTGAAAAGACAAAAAAAAATGATTCCATTTATACGAAATACAAATATCACACCTCGATTTGGGAAAGTTGTGTTACATGAATCTACCCCTGTAAATTTTTTTTAATGTTCAATATAGCACATTCCAATTTCGATTTTATGATTAATTTCCGAGAGGCTAATCTTAAATGGGTTATTTTTTCGGAATAAAAATTTCTTAAAACCGATATAATATAATGGCAAGTTTAATTACATTTTCAATTGTGCAATTGAATAATATAAAGAAAGGCTTAAAAATAAGGCTTTGTGAAATTACTTAAAAAAAAAAACTTGAATAGAAAGTTATGAAAGAATAAAGTCATAATTGGAAATAAATAAAAGACAAAGGCGGTTTCAATCGGAGATTTTCATAAAGATTTAAAATTTGATTCGTTTTCCTCATGCTTATAACCTTATTTTCATTTACGATTTTTTTTTTGTATAATATTTTAATTAATAAAGGTTGATTATCAAATCTCAATATAAATTCTTTGATTTGTCTTTTTTTGGATTTTTTGACTCACCATTTTTAATACAATATAATATCTATTTCATTGATCTCTTTAAATCTTTAAATGTAACACTGATCATTATTTTATTAAAAATAATATTTATTATTCACCAAAGTTGGTGAATTTAATTAATTAAAAATGGATGTTTTATACATGTTTTATAGCACCTTAACATACAAATTCTATTAATGCATAATGACGCAATTTTTTTTCCCCTATATAATGATGTGAAAATATGAAGAAGATCATCAAGATCTATGGAGATTCCTGACTTAATTGCCTTGGAAAAGTAAGCATCATTCTTGAAATGAAATAATACATATATATCATTTAAATTTTTTTCATTTTAGTGACGTTATCAAAGAAATAAATTTCGACAACACTGAAAAAGAAGCTTATTCAAAGAAAGTTCCTATTACAATCATTACAGGTATAAAATATATTTTAGTAAAATATTCATAAAAATATTTTTAATAAATATTTTTTATTTAATAGGTTTTCTTGGTTCAGGAAAAACTACTTTATTAAATTATATATTGACGAAACAACATGGTAAAAGAATTGCCGTGATTTTAAATGAATTTGGTGAAAGTACGTAAAATAAATAAATAAATAAATAAATAAATAAATTGTTATATTTATTTATTATTTATTATTTTTTTTTTTTATATTTTATTTATTATTTTATTTATTATTTTTTTATTTTTATTTTTTATTTTTTTATAATTATATATTATTTTTTTATATATTATATTTAATATTATTATATTTTATAGGCATTGGAGTTGAAAAAGCCATGTCTGTTGCTCAGGGTGGGGAATTATTTGAAGAGTGGTTAGAATTAGATAATGGATGTTTATGTTGTTCTATAAAGTATGAGATTCTTATAATATATTTAATTTAATAATGTTAATTATATTAATAATGATTCTTTCTCTTTAACTTTTTTATTTATTTTTTATTTAAAATAGAGATAATGGAGTAAAAGCTATAGAAAATCTTATGCAAAAGAAAGGAAAATTTGATTATATTTTATTAGAAACTACAGGTCTTGCTGATCCAGGTAAATAATCTAAGTAATTTTAATTATCGCGGTTTTCAAATTTGAAAGGTATTATAAACAATATCGAGAATATCGCGTGTCTGATCTTCAAATTCAGCCAATAAAAATTAATATTTCACGCATTTATCACGTGCTATGAATTTATATGAAATTTTATTGGCTGGATTTGAAGATCTGGCACGTGATCTTGTTTATAATACCTTTCAATTATGTAAACATATTACTTAAATCTGAACCATAATTTTTTTTAGGACCAATTTGTTCAATATTTTGGTTAGATGAAGATTTAGGTAGTGATATATATTTGGATGGTATCATCACACTGGTTGATGCAAAATATATTCAAAAAGTAAATATCTTATTTATTTATTTATTTATTTATTTTATTTGTTTGTTTAATTTTACTTTATTACTTTATTACTTTTTAATACTTTTATTACAGTATATTTCAGAAGTAAAGAAAGATGGAATAATAAATGAAGCTATAAAGTTGGTTCTACTTTTATTCTTTAATATTTTTTTAAGAACAAATATATATTAATTCATTTTTAAATTAACTTAAATATTTTCAATAGACAAATAGCTATTTCTGATAGGATCATAATTAATAAAATAGATCTTGTAACATCTTCAACATTGAATTCTATAGAAGAGCAGATTAGGTGATTTTTTTTTTAATTTTTAAAATGTATATATATATATATATATGTATAGAAATTATTCCTCACCAGGGTGAATTCTAACTCCCAAGATCACCTATAATTGTTAAATTGTGACTTAGTTTTTTTTAACTCACTTTTACTTTGTTAATCATATGAAAGTAATATTACTCAAGAAGTTATAGGGAGCAAGGAATAACATTACTCATATTTATTTATTTATTTATTTATTTATTTAATATATTTAATTATAACATATAGAAGCATAAATTCAGTTGCAAAGATTATTAGAACAGAAAAATCAAGGTAATTAAATCATTAATTAACAAATTAATCAAATCATTTGATATCATTTAATATACCATTTTATATCATTTCATTTACATTCAATTATTACTTTATATATTTTTCTATCAAATCAAAAAAACAAGAGTGGCTTTAGATTTTATTTTAGATATTCATGCATTTGATTTTAAAAAACCTGATTTATTATCCACTTTACTTGATTCAAATTATAAAAATTATGATTATCAACATCAAAATCATAATATTAATGAGGTAATATTAAAATTTATTTATATTATTTAATTTATTTATATTATTTAATTTATTTATATTTATTTTAATTTATTTATATACATTTAATTTAAATAGGAAGTAAAAACTATTTGTTTATCAAAATTTCCTTCATTAATTGACTTAAAAAGAATTGAAAATTGGATTCAATTTTTATTATGGGATAAAATTATTCCGATGTCAACTGATACTACTTCATCATCTTCTGATAATGAAATTATAATATTACGTCTTAAAGGAATTCTCACTCCGATTAAAAATCCAGAATCTCGAGTTTTTGTACAAGGAGTTCAAGAATTATATGATTTACAATATTTTCCAAAATACAATAATAATGATAATGGTAATTATAATGATAATATAGATAATAATGTTAAAGATAAATTAGTGATTATTGGAACAAATTTAAATTATAACAAATTACGGAACTCTTTATGGGTTTGGATGGAATGGAATAATTAGATAAAGAATATTATTCTAAATTTTTTTTCTATTCTATAAATTTATTCAATAACAATTAGACCTAAATTCTATAAATAATTTTACCAATTTAGGTTCACTCCATTTTCCTTTGATACTAAAGATTATTTACAAATGAACTGTCCGCTATAAGTTTATAGGAAAATGCATATCTGCGCATGATACCTGTCGTGAAAAGTGTTATAAATAATATATAAATGAACATAATAACCTTAATTTTTCATTTTAGAAAATTATGAAAGGAAATGAAGTAATTAATTTAATGAATGATTTATAATTTAAGGAGATAAGAGTTCATTCATATTTTGTCATATGATTCATTTGGAATTGTAACTTGTGAAATAATTACTGGTTTGTGATTTTTACTTTTTACATTTTACAGGGGCGAAAAAAAAAATGTGGCCTATCATTTTCTTTATTTAATAAAGAATTTAAAATAATGTAAATCTTTTCCATTGTTTCAAATGATATTACCATATATAATCTATACAATAGGAAAAACTATGGTACATGTATACAATCAAAATGGTAATTACTTTAATGAAAGGAAAATATAGATATCAATAAAAAAAATTTCAAACGTTATTTTAAAATAAATTTATTTATTCATCTCTACATTGAAAAATATTAAAAGTTTTTATTCATGTATAATATATAATACATCATATGTATATTTTTAATAACCCGTTAAAAGAAATAGAAAAAACTTACTTTGCTCTTCTACGTATTGACTCTATTAATACAAAAATAAAAAAAAACAAAAAAAATGAAATTATTCCATTATGATCCAAAAATGTACACACACATATATCTCTGTAGTTGTTAAAATTATTCTTCTCACGGTATTTGTGCTTCTTTCGCTAATTATTCTTCTCACGGTATTTGTGCTTCTTTCGCTAAACATCGAATATTATTAATGAAATTCTCGACAATGTTTACATAACGGTTACGTTGTTGTTGAGTTAATTTATTCTTTTCTTCAATCAAAATTTGTGGATTTATAAATTCTAATTCAAGTTCGTGTGAAAGATCTTGAGGTGGCATTGTACCATCTACATTTCTAGATTTCTGTATTATATATATATATATAATTATTTATTTATAGGTTCCAGTATCATTTTTCGAATCTAATAATTAGTCCATTTACCATTTAAAAAAATTATTATTAATTATTTTTTTTTGTCTGTATACACACCTCAGGACCTTTTACTTGTGTCAAATCAACTTTAAATAGTTGATGTGTATAACTTAGTCTATCCTTATTTCGTTCATGTACATGTTGACCAGTAGGCATCTCCACTAAAATCAAATAAAAATAATCAAAATAATCAAAATAAATAAATAAATAATCAAAATTAAATAAATAAATAATCAAAATTAAATAAATAAAAATAAATAAATAAATAAATAAATAAAAGATAAATAAAAAAATGAAACATTTCTCACCTGGTTTTTCGGAGTTTACTGTTATGCGATAATCTAAATAGGTATTTGGTGAATGAACATTTAAAACCGCAATACGGACTTTTTCAACAATCCCACCATTGACAATCTAATAAAAAAAATATAATTTTTTGAAATTATAATAATTTTTCCTATTGACGATGCCTAAATAATAATTATATACCTGACCAGTTTTAGTATTTGTGGTAACTCTGACTTTACAATTATTCCTTTGATAAACTCGATCAGTTTCGAAAATGTGTTTATATTCTAGTGGGACTCCCTATAATTCATATAACATATTAAATTTATATATATATATATATATTCATATAATTCCCAATTTCTTTTCTTTCAAAATCAAATTATTATGATTCTTATTAATTATGTAATATAATATATTATTTTTTACTAGGTAAATTACTTGATAAGGTGGTTTTGTAGCAACTACTCGACTATTTAATATTTCATTAAAGTGTTTATGTTGCGCCTAAAGAAATATAAAAATGAATAATCATTATTAATTATTAATTGATAAAAAAATATTGATTGATAAAAAAATATTGATTGAAAATATATAGATATATATATATATATATTTATATTATTTATTCAAATACAATTTCTTACTTCGGTCATGTTACTCTCAAATTTCAAATTTCTACGTTGGGGAGAGACAACTGTGTCAAGCGGGAATTTAAATGATAAGAATCAAAAAAGAATATAATATCTTTGACAAGAAATCATAATTCACTTTAATTCATTTTTATGATTTACTAGTTTCGCAAGCGACATCCAATTGTATTCTTTCTTTCGTCCTGGTATCTATCAGTCTACCCAATTTTGCCTCGATCTATTATTAATTTCAATATAAAAATAATGTTAATACTTAATTGTTTAACAATTATTAAACGATTAATGACATTTCTTAATGACAATATGACAATTAATGTGAATTACAAATTAATGTGTGTTATTGAAATACCTCAACATATTCTCTATCAATATTTTGATATAAAAAATCGCCCACTTGTTTTGTAAAATCACTAGTTGGAAATATCCCAAAGATCGTGGGTTCTAATCTTGAAGGTAGACCTTGACTATTAGATTGTGGTTGCCTTAAAGAACCATTTGAACTAGGAGTGCTTGCTTCAGTTTCGTCACTATCTTCCTCATATCGAGGACGTTTTCCATTAGTTGACATGTTGTATCGTTTTAAAAGGTTAAAGCTTTAAAAAAGGAGGGAGGGGGTAGCAAATAAATCAATAAATCAAAGAAAATAATCTTATTATTTCTCTTATCTGCCTTAAAACGCAACGTCAGAATTATATTTAGATATTAGGATATAAAGAGTAACAATTACAATTGATTTTCGTTTATTAGGGGTAAGACATATGATCTACAATTTACACATGATTTAATCATTGTTATCAAATTTAGTTAAATCATTTTTATCATCTTTAAAAAAATTGAGAACTCAAAGGTTCGAATTAATCGATAAAAAATAATGAATAAAGCAAAATTTCTAGTTTCTAAACCAAAAAATGGAGTTGGAGGATTTGTCTTTCAATGTCGAAAGATTGAATTCAATTATTGTGAACGTAGTGGAAGTAGTCGTGGTATGATGTAAGTTATATTAAGTTTTTATAAAATTTAATTTTATCCGAGAAAAAATTATCAATTAAAATGGGGGGTTTTTTTTTTATTATTATTAGTGAATATTTTAAAACTAAACTTATACCTTTCGCTAAGAGAAATCCTCAAATTGAAATCATTGTAACTCCTAGACCTTCAAAACATCCATTGGTTCGAGGAACCTATTGTTAGTGTTATAAATATTAATATTATACTACTTTCTTTTGATCATAATTTTACACACTCACATATATATATATTCAAATATTTTTTAAATTAGTGAATGAGATGCAAAAAGATATTTGTGTTAAAAACTTGGATCCAAAAGAAATCGATAAATATGTTCAGTTAATTCGTGATAATACTGGTTATAAAGCAAAGTCAAGATTCAAGAAGCCTGTCATTTCAACCACACCTAGTGTTAGAGGTATTTGGAGTCCATTTAATACTAGACCACACATTATTTAAGTATTAAATAATGTAATTATTTTATAAAGAAATTTTCCAATTTTGTAATGAAGCAAAATCTAGCATAAAGCGCGTCGTGTAATAAAAAATTTTAATTAATTTAAAGTATTTATAAAAATTTATTAACGGAGTTTACTTAAATTCCTATGAGTTTGAAATGAGTTTGAAATTTATGATATGACGAATAAAGTTGAACTTTTATTTTTCGGTCATGAACCATCATTCGAATTACTTAACTATGGCGTTATTTTCATAAATAATTCATAATATATATATATATATATATATATATATATAAATTAATAATATTTCAAATAATAAATCTAACATTTCTTTAAAAACTTTTTCTTGAAACAACAATTTTCTATTATTTTGTTTAAAAGAATGCCAAAATTAGTTCATAAACCTGACAAAACTATTCCATTAGAAGAAGATGATTGTTCAAAATTAAAGTTTAACGATGGTTTTTTTATTTATTAAATATATTATTAAATTATTTGTTTATCATATTTGAAGTTTATTTATTTTATTCATTTATTTAATAATAATAAAGCCCCAGAGAATGAACATCTTTTAAGTATGGGAGAAACAAATGAACTTCTGAGAATTGTTTTGAATAATTCAAAAAGGCCAAAGAAATATCCATCGTATAAATCCTTTCGCTTATTCAAAAATTTGATTAAACGAACGAGAGCTAATAGTTAAAAAGGCAATTAATAATAATATATATATATATTTTTCTCATCATAGAATTTTAATGAAAACTTTTGAATACAGTAAGACATTTAATCCCTTCACGAGTCACACCCAATTAACAGATGCTCGAAGGTTAATTTTATTATACTTAATTTTTTTTCCTTTTCATTTATTTTTTAACTTATTTTAAGAATAATAAAATAAAATAAAAATAAAAATAAATAATTAGGATTTTAAGTAAATATCAACTTGACGCGTTCGAAATACCATTACTTTTAAATTTCTTGCCAGTCAAAGTTGCTGAAACTAAAGGTTTGATACCCAGGTAAATAATAAAAATACTTTATTGTTCTTATTTTTTGGTCTGAAACTTTAGGCACCGTTAGAAATTTTAAATTTTATTATTATTTATTATTAAAAGCTTGACAAGGTTATCAGATGATCAAATTCAAGCAATTTGTGAAGATATTAAGAATATCAGAGGATATATCAAGTAACATTCTTTATTTGTGTTATTAGTGTATAATTATTATAATCAAATTAATATATTTATTTATTTTTATTATATTAAAAAAACAGCTTATTGAAAGATGAATGAATTTTTAGTTTCTCAATTTTATAATTTATAGTTTTTTATAATTTTATAATTTTTTATAATTTCACTTTTTATTTACAGAACAAATAAATCGGTCGAAAATCATTGTCATGAAAGAACTTTCGAAACAAAGAAAGAATACAGAGAAGGAATTATAATTATAGTACATACTGTACATATTAATCATATATATTCAATATATATTTTGTTAAAAGAATGACAGTTAATATGTATTTCGTATATATATTCGTGTGTGTTATAAATGTATATAATATATAAAAGTTTTTTTAAAAAAAAATTCCAAGAAAACCAAGAAAAAAATTTATAATTATAATGATGAATAAAAAATTTATAAAATTTCACACGAAAAATATTCGGTACCAATATTTTTTTTTTAAAAAAAACTAAATTAAAAGAAAAGGTAAAACTAATTCACCTAATTCACACAAACGAAAATCAAATACCTTTAAATATATATATATATGTGATAAAATAAAAAATAGATAAATATATAAGATTCTTTTTGGGGTAGGAAAGTTTTTTACTGTACTGTACTGTTTTCTATTATAAAATTTTTAAATAAAATGTTATATATATATATAAATAAAGGTACACACCAAAGAAAAAAAAAGAAAAGAGTGAAAAATTTAACAAAGTGAAATGAATGATAAATAATAGGAAGGAGGATATTTTTGGTGGAATTTACAAAAGAGGAAAGTCTAATAACAGTAACAATAGTAATAGTAATAATAAATAGTGAAAGGATAGGTTTTTTTCTTGGTATATTTACAAAAATTTACAAATAAATCATTCATTTGTGTGTATGTGAATAAGAAAATAATAATGAATGAAAAATGAATGAATAAAAAATGTACAAAATTTTTTTAAAAATATATATATATATATATATATATACAGTATGTGAGGAGACAGATATATAGATAGATATATATATATATGGTAATGATTTATAAATTTAGTAAAGGGAAAAAGAATTCAAAATCAATAAAATCTATGATATGAATTATGAGCGTTGTGTTGTAGTTGTGGATTCACATTCATATTATTGTTATGTTTGGAGGAAGGTGATGATTCAAAATGACCATAACCATATGTAAAATTTTTATTTCTGTTATCACATGGTAATTTCCAATTTTCAGAAGGAGAAGCAAAAGAAGATTGTAATTGTAAATAAGGTTTAGTTAAAGGAGAATAATAATTTGTATTTGATTTATATTCTTCATTTGAATTTCTTCTATTCCTTCTCATAACCTCTTCTCTCTGATGCTCATAACCATATAAATTAGATGACACATTTGGTGTCATGGAATTATAGGTCTTGGAATAAGTGTTAGGGGTTCCAAATTGAGTATTAGATGAGATTGTTGAAGGATGATGAATATAACCAGACACTCCATAATTTCCATAATTTTCATAATTGGTTTCATAATTGTTGTTGTTGTTGTTGTTGTGATTTTTGTGGTGATGATTGTTGTCACTGTTAAATGAAGAGTGATCCGAAAAAGTGGTAGAATCCGAAGAAATAGATGAACCAGTATTTCTTCGAGATCGTTTTTTAATTATATCATCAACTTCCTTAAGAAATATTTCTTCACGTTCTTTTTCTTCTGTCGATGTAAGAATTAACTTTTCCGAATCTGAAGATGTTAAAGTATTCCGTCGCGAACGTCGAGTTAAGGGGGTTTGGATACCAAGTTCTTTCATGATTTTTTCATCACGTTCTTTCTCTTCCGCCAAAAACATTTCAAGTTCTGTCACCTCTACTTTACTGGTGAGTGCTTCTTTACCATTAGTGATTAATTCTAGTAATTTAGAATTGAAATTGACAAATTCTTCATCATCGTCACATTTTAAAGATTCTTCATTATATTCCTCTCTGCCACATTTAGCACGTGATTTTGATATGTTTATGCGTGAACGAATCAATCGTCTTCGATGAACTAAGATTTTTTTGCGACGTGACGTGGAAGAAGGAGAAGCTGAGGATGAAGAAGATGAGGCAGTAGTAATTGAATCATCATCTGTAATAATGGTCGATTGTGATGATGATGATGGTGATGATTCAAATCCCGTTTGAGTTGGTGTCGAGGTCGTTCTTGTTATGGCTTTTGATGGCTAAATTATATATATAAATTAAAAGATAAATACAAATATAAAAATAAATATTCATTGTAACGTCACAAATTTAAATAAAGTTAAATAAAATTAAATAAAAACTTTTATAAAACTATTATCATATCGTACCATAGACCAAGTAATTTCATAAGGTGGAGGAGGTTCTTCTTCGTCGTCACCAAATCCTATTTGCATTATTTCACCGTAATCTTCATAATCTTCATAATCCTCGTCGTATTCGTACGACATGGATTCATCATCTTCATCATGATAATTTACCGGACGATTTTCTATGATAAAACTTTGATAAGTTTCAGAGGCAACAGCTGAAGTGAGTGCAGCAAGTTCTGTCAACTTGTATAGTAAATTAGCCATTAAACTTGGATTATGATATTGATTCTTGTAGGACGACGATAGTAGTTCAACGCTATTATTTGATGAGAGTTTTTGAGAGAGGTCTAATCTACCATCTTCTATTGATAATGATGACTGCATTTTATTTTATTATTATTATTATTATATTATTATTATTTTTGATGTAACAATTTGATAATTTTTGGTAATTTGGTAATCTGTTAAAATAACGGTGTGTAAAGAAATAATATTTATTATTAAGAATGATGAAAAAAAATGAACGTAAATTATTTTTTTTTTTGCAACATAAATAAATTTTTTTTTTAATAAGTAAAGAGCAACAGGATATGTATTGGATAGGTATTGGATATGTATTAAAAAAGGTATAATAATAAATTATTCGTTCGACGCGTTTTTTTTTTTGAGTTCACTACTAATTTTTTTAATTTTTTTTCGTTGCTCTAAATTAAAACTTTAAAATGAACTAATATTATAAGGTAATAAAGTTTAATTACGTTAATTACCGTAAGCATTACTACTTATCGGTATGTAGAAAACTGTATCGGTAAGGAGAAAAGTGAGGAGGTAGTGTAAGGAAAATGCGAATGCGGTTTTCGGATTAGTCTTTTTATACGTATCGAGTATTCTCAAAAAAAAAATTAAATTTACCTAATTTGATATATTCTTTTTTTTTTTTTGGTCAGGGTTATACCCTTTAACAATAGCGAAAAAATAATTATATTTATATTTGATATTACTATATTATATTTTTTTTATATTATATCATATTTACATTTATTCATAATAAATAATAATGCATTCATGTAGTACGCACATACGTAATCTATCATTTTTGTTATCAATTTTGAATTGTATAATTTGATTAATTAAAATAAAATAAAAAATCTGATAAGATCTGTGCGAGTTAACTAGGTCGGTAGCGAAGTTTAATAATCTCTATTATTTTATTATTTATGTTTGCTTTCCTTGAAATGTTATTAAGAAAAAAAATTATTTTTTAATCTAGTATTCTAAATTCATAGTGGAATGGAAGGACAATCTTTCTTTTGATATATATTGAGTCAATTACAAGTAGTATTTTTATGACTTTTTTGCCGTTGTCGATATGCAGAACGGTAAACAATCGTCACACACCACCTATTGTCTAAAAAGACAAATCGGTACAATTGAATAAAAAAAATATTCATTGTTAAGTCAACGGTTTGAAGGTGATCATATGCCATGCCATTTACCGATTTGGTAATTTCTTTGTTTCAGTTTTTCGTGGGGATCGTGAGTCATTTGCCAGACTAACAATAGCCACGATTTTATTATTTTTAGAATTTGAAACAAACTGTCAAAGATTTATTCCTCTCTATATTCATTCATTTAATTCATCCAAAATAAAAATGGCTTGGAGAAACACATCAAAGCGAATATGTGGAGATGGCATTTAAAACAATTAATAAATTCCGTTTTCATAGTCAACATAACACATGGTTCGTTTTTGCGTGGCGGTAAACTATATTTTAAATTGTGGAAATTCTCCAAGCTAATGAAATTTTTAATTTTATACGAAAATGATCGAATTTGTAATGATCCTTCCTTCTATAAATTTCTTTAATATCATCACAATTAAAAAAAAACTTCAAAACTTCTTTACGTGATTTTAATTTTTAATTTCTTGAAAGTATATATTTTTGATATTATTATGTATAAATAATCTATTCTAATTAACAGGTTTTTCTTTTATTAATTAATAATAAATATGGGCGCTTACATTGCATTTCTCTTTTTTTTTTTTTGCTGCTGCACGAAAATGTATGAATCTATTATTATATTATTCAATAGTATTATTTATTAATTATATCATTATCTGCTATATCTTACTTGTTTTATCATAATTTAAAACGTACATTTATATTATCACTAATTAAAGTTTAAGTATACAATTCTTGTAATATATACATTCAATCGAAGTAAAAAAAAAGGAGAATAATTAAAACAACCTTTCAAGCATTGGGCTTTAACGGAGATTTTTCTTTATTAAACAATATCAGGAAATGTAGATCTAATATAATACCAAATAGAGTAAAAAAATAAATGCAATATATACAACAAAGGTAAAAGCGAAGATTATTAAATTTACAAGAATCCCATTGTTAACATCATGAAGAAGCACATTCATAAAAATTAAATTGACATTTTCTCCACTTTCTTTTCTTTGTAGAATTATTATGCGAAGTGCATCTCATAACTTTTTAAGCTTGATGCATTTGCATCAAATCAGACAAATTATACATTACATACCGTCATTATTCCAATTTATACATGCAATAAAAAAACAAATAAATAAATAATATCACAAATTCTGTGTTATTATTATTACAATTATTGTCGCTTTGTTGTTTATGAGAATTCATTTTTTATTTTATTTTATTATTAAAGTTGAGAAGAAATAAATTATTTGGATAATAATTATAGATTGCATTAATTGCGCTTGATTGTATTAATTTTATTGATTTTTATTAATGTATTAATTATTTTAATCTTCTGGTAAATAAAGAAAACTCGATTTTTAATTTATAAATGTGATTATACTTACCCAAATATGTCTCTTTTTAAAAGATGCACAATATGATTTCATATCATAAATATCATAGATTTATTATAAATATAAGATAATATCCATCTTTTTCGCTAAAATTTTTCACCAAAGTTTTCTTATAAAATTTTCTTGATAATTCTGATAATTCCGATAATTCCGACAACTTTGATGATGATCTAACGGCGACGACCACTTGAATGAATCTGATAACGTGGTTAATACTACTTCAGGTAAGTCATAATTCTATAACTACATTTTTTATCTTAAAAAAAATAAAGTTTCTAAAAGAATTTATTATTAAAATATGGATATATTTGAGTTTGGTTTTGTAGCTCTATTCTTTCTTTCGATTATTGGAGGGGATGGATATCATCTCATTAAGGTTTTATATCTTCACCTTTATCATCATCATTACTTGGAATAGTGAAAAGGTTGTGATAAGCAAAGTGAGATCTTTGATGGATACTTTTATTTCTGTTCTTCACTTTTTTTAATAATACGAACCTATCAATTAATAAAATAACAATTTACATTCACGTTGTGATTTTTTCTTTTCGTTTTTGTAATTTTTTTTTCTCAATGTGAATAATAATAATTGTAATAATATAATACGCTCATGCATTTTTTTTAAATATATCATATATCATACAAATTAAATATAATAAATGTTATTTTATTCATTGTTGATATTATAAATGCAATTATACAATTGATATAAATCATGTGATTTTGAACGAAACTAAATTCCCAAAAAATATTAATAATAATGTACAGTTTATTATTATTAGCATAAATGGAAACCTCACAATTTTCGAGACACTTTAAAATCCATAAAAATTTCTTCCATCAAATATATCAAACGCCATGAATTCATATTTAGGAGAATAATATACATCAAATTGAATCGAATTTGGATGAGGAATCAAATAATTTAATCATTCAACGTACAGAGTGCAAGTGTGATAAAGGCATAATTTTGTTTTGATGTAATTTTGGTTGTTCTCCTCATAATTGTTTAAAATTGTGTAAAATAAAATTTGCAGTTCAAAAAACATAAATAAATATTTCACAGTTCAAACAAGAGCAGTACTTTTAAATTCTTTTTTTTATTGCCAAGTCTCCTCTAAAATACAAGAACAAATTGGAATTATCAACTTCACAATGTCAAGCAACTCTTCTCCTGAGAAGAAAGCAGTTCAAAACAACAAAAAGCGAAAATATACTATGCAAGATCATCAAAAAGATCAAGCAGCCTCAGAAGGATTTTGATTTTATCAACTTCACTATGTCAAGCAACTCTTCTGAGAAGAAAGCAGTCCAAACTGACAAAAAGTGAAAATATACTATGCAAGGGTCTCAAACAATCACTAAAAAAGGATCTCAAAAGACAAATTAAAGATCTCCAAGACAAGTACCCAAACCATGAAATCATCAAAGGCATTATAGTTCAGGTCTCAACTACAAATGCAAGGGATTTCAAACCTTATTGGAATGATTTTCACCTTCAAGAAGATCAAAACTTATGGTTCTCAGTCAAACAAGTCATGACAAGAGAACTTGCAGATAATCTCTTCACAGTTTGTACTTTATGGCAAAGAATAACAGAATGAATTCAGCAAAAAATGAAAGAAAATGAAAGCAAGCCCAAGAAAAAGAAACAAGCAAAAAAGAAGAAAAAGTACCTGCAAGAAAAACAAAAAAAAAACAAAATTTTCTACTCAAAAACAAAGAGAAATTTTGATGAAGTAGTTTGAAATGACAAGGTAGACTTATAATCAAGTGTTACCAGCTATAGAAAAGGAATTCCTCAAAACAGAAAAGCCTTAAGAACTAAGTATCTAAATTCTGAAAATTTTCAAGTGGATTTTGAGATACCATATAATATTTGAGATGAAGGAATGATTTATGTACTTAAAGCTTATAAAAAAAACATTGCTGCTCAAAAGAAAAGATTCAAGATTAACTATCAAAACAAAAAAAGATCTGAATCAATGGGTACAAAACCTATTCAGGAGGCAGATCCATTATTAGATATGTTATGATTGTCAAATAACATAATTAAAAATCTTTGTAATTCCATGCTACTTGAAATTAAAAGTGAAAATCAAGCTTCTAAATGAAAAATAATTGAAGAAGGAATACTTGCATTAAATCCAGGAGTTAGGACATTTTCAACTGATTATTCTCCTTCAGGATTGACAGTCGAATGTGAAAAAATGATATTGGAAAATTTACTATCTTTGTAATACCCTTGACAAGCTATAAAGCAAATAGTCACAATAGAAAACTTGACATAGGAAATGATACAAGATAAAAAAAAAACAGCAAGAAGAATACAAAAAAATTCAAAATCTTGTTGATGAAGTACACAAGAAATTCACTAAGTGAATTGTTGAAAAATATCACATTGTATTTCTTCCTAAATTCAAGAGGTAAAATGAATAAATAAATGAATAAGAAGTAAGACAACAAGAGCAATACTTGGATGTCTCATTATCATTTTAAATCATGTTTGATCAACAAGACAAGATAATACCCTTGGTATAAAGTTGTAATCTGTGATGAACATTACATTTCAAAGACCTGTTGAAATTGTGGATATCTTCACCAAAAATTGAGATCAAACAAACTTTCAAATGTTCTCAGTGTCAAATAGAAATGTTGATCTCCTTCGGACAAGTTTAATTGTGAGCGCACATGCCCGTTATTTATTTTTTTTAATTGAAATAATGTAAAATTTCGATTATTAATTTGCGTATATAAAAAAAGTTTACACGCAAAAATTCGGAATTTATTTTTGTGATCAAATGATAATAAATCTATCTTACATTTCAATATTTACTTTATTAAAAATTAATTCATGCAATACACTTTTTAAATGAACCAAAATTGGCTAAAATCTACCATTCTTTGTAGCACAAATCGAAGGTCAAATTTCAATTCTGCTTTAAGAACACGTTTAATAAATAAGGAAAATATCCTTAGAATAATGCAAGAAAATAAAATGATTTCGTAATCAATTTCTTTTACTTTACTCTTTAGTAATCTAAAGTATGAATATATTTCATTTTCAATCGAATAATTAAGTTTTTGACATAAAGATCATGCACAGCATCGCATCACAAGACAAGAGGTAAGATGTAATTGCGTTCGCAAGTTTTGCGTACCATTTTGGGAGTTATTTTTGTGGCGTCGTTAATTTTACACCTAAATTTTTTTTGTTTTGTCACTTTAGATGGATAGCGAATTTTGTTTGATAAACTTTAAGCCGCCGAGAATTATCTGAATCAAAACAAACAAATTTTTTACTAAACAAAAAAAAAGATTTTTACGTGATTATTAATATTTTTATATCGTGGAAAAATTGAAATTATTGAATTTATAACATCAAGCCACAACTGCGCATCTTAGCACAGCACAATTTACAAATATTTGTTTATCTCGTGTTGAAAATACTCCAAAAAAAGTGGGTATAAAAAAAAAAAATTGAAATTAAAAAAAATTTAAAAGTTGAAATTAAATTAATTTCATTAATTATTTATTAATACAAAACATGTCAACTCATAACTTTGATTTGTACATAACTCACTCATTATAAGACTTACAATTCTCTTTTTATTATTATTTATAATATAAACCCACCTTTTTTTTTCTTTTTTAAATAATTTATTCCTATAAATGGTTTCAACTCCGTCAGCTTATTTTGCACGTTGTACAATTGAAAAAACTGCTTCGGAACTTGGAACTAACATAGAAACTGGACTTTCTACACAAGAAGCCAATAGCAAGAGGAAAGGAAGTGGTTATAATGAATTTGAGATCGAAGATGGAGAAAATCCCCTGATAAAATTCATTAAACAATTTATCGAAAATCCTCTCATTCTTTTGTTGCTTTGTTCTGCCGTAATTTCTTTGATATTGGGGAATCCTAAAGATGCATTTTCCGTCTTCTTGGTATATTCCAATTTCTTTTAAGATTCCTTCTTTGATCTGTTTTTTTTTTAACTTCTAGATAATGTCTAGATGATGTATTAATAAATGTATCAATAAATGCGTTTATAATAATTAATTTTTATACTCAGGCGGTTTTAATTGTCACCACAGGTAAATTGATTTTATTCTCAACTTTCATAAAGCTTCACATTTCGAAATATTTTCAATAATTTAATAATTTAATGATTCATATTTTTGGCATTTTCGTAATATTTTCACATTTTTTGTTATAATTAGTCGGGTTCGTGCAAGAGTATCGATCCGAAAAATCACTAGAAGCATTAAATAAATTAGTTCCACATTATTGTCATCTAATACGGTAAAAAAGAATTACTACAAAAAAATTTTGTTACATATTAAGCACATTTAAAATATATTAACATATTAAACCATTAAATCAGTGATGGTCATTTAATAGAAGCTTCAGCCACTGAATTAGTACCAGGTGATCTAGTTAAATTTCGTATTGGAGATAGAATTCCTGCCGATGTTAGATTAATAACAGTTAAATATCATTTTAATTGTCATTTAATTTTTAATAATAAAAAATATGATAAATGAATTAAATAAATTATAAATATTATAAACGAATTAATAATTTCGGTAATTATAATTTATAATAATAAATAGGCAGTAAATTTGGAGATAGATGAATCTAATTTGACAGGTGAACCAAAACCTCGAAGCAAGAATACAGAGGTGATTTTAGATAATAATAATACATATCAAGAGATAACAATTCAAGATAGAAAGAATATTTCATTCATGGGAACCTTGGTAAAAAATGGTAAAGATTATATAATGAATAAATATATATAATGGAAAAATTGTTATTATTTTGATGAACCTTATTTTTTATCTTTATTTTATTTTATTTTTTTCAAGGTTTTGGGTCAGGTATTGTGGTTGGAACTGGTAAAAATACAGAATATGGGGTGGTATTTTCGTTAGTTAAAGAGGTTAGAGATATATTATTGATTATTTTATAAATTTATTAGATTTATTTATTATTTCAAAGATTTTATATTTACAAAAGAATAAATATGTTTATTTATAGGCTGAAACACCAAAGACTCCCTTTCAAATTAGTATGAATGATTTGGGAAAAAAGTTATCGTATTTATCAGGAGCCATTATTGCCATCATTGTTTTAATAGGAATTATTCAAGGACGAAATTTATTAGAAATGTTAACTATTGGAGGTGATATTTTTGAAAATTATCAAGTTTTTTGAAGAAAAATTAATTTACAATTTAATAATAATAATTTTTTTTTGTATATATATACAACAGTCAGTTTAGCAGTGGCTGCTATTCCTGAAGGTCTTCCGATTGTTGTGGTCGTTACTTTAGGTTTGGGAGTTTTAAGGATGGCAAAAAAAAATGTTATTATAAAAAAATTAAATTCAGTAGAAACTTTGGGTTCTGTGAACGTTATTTGTGCAGATAAAACTGGTACGAGATTTCAAGAAATTTTCTAATTTATATTTTTTTTTTTTTTTAGGTTGAAAAAATAATTTTAATAAATAAATTTTGATTATAATAAATTATAATAAAAAAAAAAATTAATAGGAACATTAACGCAAAATGTTATGACTGTCACTAAAATATTCACAATGGATGAATTAAGCACTTTTGATTTGGAAAATGGTTTACCAACCAAGACAAGTCTTGCTATGAGAGAAGTTCTTAAGATAGGTGAGTATTTAAAGAATATTATTAAATTAATCAAAAGTCAAACAATTTTTAATTTAATTTTTGTAAAAAAAACAAATGATTTGTGTAGGAGGATTATGTAATGATGCTATAATTGATGAAAATGGAAAAAAATTTGGGCAAGCAACGGATGTTGCGTTACTCGACGTTTTACATAAAATGGAAATGGAAGATATTCTAAAAGTATTATTTGATTAAATTTGATATTAATAATATTATTATTATTATATATAATTTCCTTTAAAAGTTAAATATCAACGAGATCTTTTCTTCTTATATGTGTATACAAATTATATTTCTATTTATTTATCTAGAAATATGAAAGGATTTCAGAAATTCCTTTTAATTCTGATCAAAAATGGATGTCAGTAGTTTGTAAACGAATAAGCGAAAAGAACGAACCAGAAACAATATTTTTCAAGGGTTCACTAGAAGCTGTATTGGGGAGATGTACTTCATATTATGTTTCAGATTCTCATAAACCTCCACTGGATACATCAGCAAAAGAATCGGTAATTCGAAATGTCACTGCAATGTCTTCTCTTGGACTTCGTTGTCTTGGTATGGCATATGGTACAGATCTCACAAAGCTTACGTTTGTAGGATGTGTTGCCATGTATGATCCACCGAGAAAAGGTTTAAATTTATTTTATTATTGAACGAATTAATTATATAAAATCAAATCAATAAATCAAATCAATAAATCAAATTTATAATTTTAATTTATTAGGAGTTGAACAAACAATAAAAAAATTAATTGGTGGTGGTGTCAAAGTAGTAATGATAACTGGTGATTCTGGTAATAATTAATGCTTTGATTATGTTCTTTGTTCTTTTGATGACAAGATTATAATTTCATTATTTTTTTTATGAATAGAGCAAACTGCACTTTCTATTTCACGAAAGTTAGGCATTCCCGTAAATCCATCATCACGTTCAAGTTGTTTAACAGGGAGTGATATTGAATCTATGACAACTTCACAATTAAAAGCAATAATTAGTTCTGTATCAGTATTTGCTAGAACTGCTCCAAAACATAAAATGGCCATTGTTCAGGCTTTTCAGGAGAATGGTTCTATTGTTGCAATGTCAGGAGATGGAGGTAAAATTCTTTTATTTATTTATTTATTTATTAATTTATTAAGACAAATTAATTAATTATTAATTATAATGAAAAATTATTTAGTAAATGATGCTCCAGCTTTAAAAATAGCAGATATTGGTATTTCTATGGGTAAAAGCGGTACAGATGTATCAAGAGAAGCTGCTGATATAATATTGGTTAATGATGATTTTAATGCTATATTAGATGCTGTAAAAGAAGGTATACATAATATACTTTTTTTTTAATTATTTTTAAAAGAAAGTGACCATAAAAATGATAATATTTATTATTATTATTATTTATTTATTTATTTTAGGCAAATCAATATTTTATAATATTCGAAATTTCTTAACATTCCAATTAAGCACTAGTATAGCTGCCCTGACATTAATTACAATGTCAACAATAGCTGGTTTACCAAATCCTTTAAATGCTATGCAGATTTTATGGATTAGTAAGTTTGAATTGTCATATTATTATTATTTATTATTATCTATTATTTTTATTATTATTTATTATTATTGTTTTTATTATTACTGTTATTATTATTAATTTCTAAATTTATTAAATTTATTATAAAACTTTTATTATTTCAGATATATTAATGGATGGACCACCAGCTCAATCATTGGGTGTTGAACCCGTAGATGAAAGTGTAATGCGACAACCACCCAGAAAGAAAAATTCACCAATACTTACGCCAGCTTTAATAATGCGTGTACTTACCTGCGCATCGATAATTGTGGCAGGAACATTATTTACATATATTACTGAAATGAGCGATGGTGTAGTAACAGCACGGGACACAACAATGGTACAAAATTTTTATTGTTTATTTATAATTTTTTTTTTTTTTTTATTCCGATTTTAACACAATTTTTAATATTAATCTTTTTTTAGACATTTACGTGTTTCGTATTATTTGACATGTTTAATGCATTAAGCTGTCGTTCCGAGAAAAAATCCATATTTGAATTAGGAATATTTTCAAATTCAATGTTTAATTTGGCGGTTTCATTTTCTTTAATTGGACAATTATTTGTAATATATGTGCCATTCTTTCAATCAATATTTCAAACTGAATCATTGAAATTTACGGATATTGTGGGTCTTTTACTTTTAACTTCAACAGTATTTTGGATTGATGAATTTCGTAAACATTATCATAATCAAAAACAAGATGATGAATCTGAAATAATTAATATTATGATGGAAGAAGTATAAACCATCAAACACAAACATTTATCAACATCAGAATACAATGGTACAAAGAACGGAAATAAAGCAATAGAGGGAACATAAATGTAATTTCTATATTCTATATTATTTATTATTAAAAATAATAATAATATGGATTTTATTTTTTAATAATATTATAAAAGATAAAAAAAAATATACATACTATATAACCATAGCAATAATTATTTATAAATAATAAATTAATTACTTTTAGAAATAAAATTGTATAAGTAAAATAATATCCCATAGAATTTTAATATATTCAATTTAATAAATAATTCAATATACATAGTTGATAAATACTGTTGCCTCTGTATTGCGAATAATGAATGGGACGAATGGGACGCGAACATAGGATTTAGGTTACCTTTTTTTTTTGCCTAAAACACTATAATAACAAAAATTAATAAAACAATAAATAATTTAAAGGATAATGTGAATTATATATTACATGATTTTTCCTTAAAACTAAAATAAAAATTATCTACAAATACTTTAAATAGAATAAATAATCAAATAAATAAATAAGTAAATAAATATCCCAAAAATTTCTTAATCTTCAACAATGGTTTGACCATCAGGATTAATTTTGTTCTCAATTTTTAGCATATTAGTGAACGCTACAGTTTGTGGATTCAAGAATGGTCGGCCTAAAAATTGTTATTATGAAATTAAGATTAATTTTCTTAAAAATTTTCAACTTCATTTTTATTTTATGTTTATGATTTTATATAATTTCAACTTACTCAGATCATATTTAAATTTTTGTTCACTATTAAGACTATTATCGGGCGGGGCAGTTGGTTGGAAATTTTTAGGAATATTGAAATCAGAAATATTTTCAAGAATCCATTGACGTTCTTTTTCTACTCGTCTAAAAAATACCAATACAAAAGAAAAAAAATTATACAAAAATATTTACAATAATGAAACATATATATAGATGTAGAGGAAACAAATGAAATAGAGATTTTAATAATTTACTCGCTAATCTCTTCTTCACAAGGTATTGATAATTCTTTATATTGCAAAGAAAGAAAATCGTGTGTAGCTTTCGTTATTGCTAACCATTCTTCATCGTAGCTAAATTCTGGGGAGCCATTAGCTTCAGGAAAATCTAAAATCTGTCAAAAAATATGTATTAAAAAAGAAGGAAAAGAATAAATGACGAAAACGGCTCGCCTTATTAGAAAATAAATTTTAAATACCTGCAAAAAGTCGCGACCTGGCAGACATTTATCAAGTGCCAAAAATTGAGTAAATGAAACATCATCAATTTTGTTATCAATTTTATCATCTTCTGATATTACAGGACCATTTTCATTTTCATTCTCATCTGATTCCATGGAAATTTCATCTGGATTATAAATAGATAAAGTTTTTATACTATTTGATTTTTCTTCGGAATCATCATGATAAACAACAGCCGTAAATTTCACATGAAGATGAGCAGAAAACCAAAATTTTGGTTTTAACTTTGATAATAACTTTGCACCAGGAGGACTTCCTAATTTATTTGTAAGGATCTAATTTAAAATATCGAAATAAATTATTCAATTGTCACTTTGGTTTATTTACTAAATAATCATGTCATGATTATTATAATCATCTAACGTTGGTATTCAAAATCAAAGTTTTAATTAACAATTTTGAAAAAAAAAGTAGATATATAAATCAAATTTAGAATATTTACATCATTCTTAAAAAAAGGTTTTATTCGAAGAAGTTCTTTTTCATCTCCATGACTAGTTATTCCTAATGGCCAATCATGGGACATGAAAATATCTATAGGTTTCTTTATCTTTATAATTAAAATTCGAGTCCCGGATAATGTGAAGTAAAATAAATAATGTAAATGAATAATGTGAATAATGTATATAATATATATAATGTATATAATGTATGTAATGTATATAATGTATATAATGTATATAATGTGTAATGTATATAATTTAAATGTCACCTGCATAAGTTTGGCAACATCATATTGTTTTAAATGATAAATGCTTCGGATAGTTTGTTGACTATATGGCATCTTTTCGTAATGTCCTGAACATGAATTAAATTAAATTAATTAAACATAAATAAATATAAAGTTAATTAAACATAAATTATGTTTATTTATGTTTAATTAACTTAATTTAAGTTAATTAAACATTAATTAAGTTAATAAAACATAAATTAATTTTTAATTCTTGAAATTTAAATATTTTCACACCTGTATAATAATCTCTATTATTATAAATCCCACCAAGTCCTCCTATCCGAAGACCTCCAAAATTGACAACACCCGCGCACCCAAGATAATAAATATTATCGCATACCCATCCTCCATGATATCTAAAAAATATAGCATTTATAGATATAATATTATTAGCATTAAATTTTTAATTTTTCTTCAATGTAATAATGTGATAAATAAATGATAATCTTACAATTCCCATAAATAATTACTGGCTTCATGATTTCCTCCAATAAATAAAGTTGGACAATGAGCTTTAAGTTCACCAGAATAATATTTATGAAAATTTCCTAATGTTCGATATTTTTGGGGTACATTCAAACTTTCTAAATCGGAACTATTACGAATTGACTAAGGGAAATTTATTAATTATTATTATTATTATTGTTGTTGTTGTGATTTTAATTATAAAATTATTTATAAAACTTCTTTCTAAATCAAACCTGAAAATCTCCACAGATCAATAACAAATCGATTTTTATTTTTTTTTGTTTCTCAATATAATCTATCGTTTGATAAATTACTTCCAGTGTGTTATGACAACAACCTTCGATAGCAATCTAATTATATAAAAAATTAAAGTTTATAATAAAGTTTATCTGTAAAAAATTCGTTATGTACCTTCATATTTTTATTAATTCTATTTCTATAGTTAAATCTGGATTTTTTTGTTAAATTTCTAAGAGAAGAAAACATTACTATATATCATATGAATGATAAAATTGCCAACACTGATCTTAACCAATAGAAAATTTTTCAGATACATGGATACATGTGACTTTCACCGTAAATTGTTCATTGTATCGAATAAACCTTACAAATCGGAGGTGTGTGACAAGTGATATTTGTATTTTGTATAAATGGAATCATTTTTTTTCTGTCTTTTCAACAATATATAATATATTAAATATCGAAATAATCGGAAATGGTGTATTTAAATATGTTGATTCCCCATATAACTTAATATAATCATATAAAGGATTTTATAATATTTCATCAAGACCAACTGCACGTGCAAAATGGATCATCCTATTCGTTTGGGCTACGGAAATACTTTATACAGCGCGATTATTGATGCATTTTAATAAATACGATGCTCATTGAATTAAAAATGAGTATAATGCTGACCAAATTGATGAGAAAAACTTAAACAAAAAGTTAAAACCCCATGGACCTCCAATCTATCTATCCCTGTATTCACGTTCTTAATTTCGAGGTCTCTAGTCAAATGAAAATCGAAGAACTAACTGCCAAAGGAAACGATATGGAACTTTCTCATTTTTTATTGGCAGGTTCACATGTAATAAGTGACGCACTAGACCCAAAAAAAGATTTACCTTCAATACCTCCGAAAAGTGGATATATAGTAAACAATTAAATGTTATAATTTATAGATATCTTGTTATTCTCACAAAGTTCGTCCCCTGTTCATTTTAGATTTTTTTAACCTTTGTTGCTGCTCCTATTCCTTCTCTCCTCTCTCACTGATAATTATAGTTCTTTCGTTATTTTTTTTTAAAAAAAAGAAATTGTTTATATTTTAAAAATTAATGTTATAAAATCCATCACTTTGATTTTTTTGAGATTAAAAATTTACTAACATTATTTAGCGTATATAATGATTTTATCTAAATATATTTAATGACTCCATTTCAATTTTTTTTTTTATCCATAATAATGAAAAATCTCTTTTTTATCTGTTTAATTTGTATATTCCATAAAAATTGAATATGCACTCTCTCTTTCTCTTGCACATAACACACTCATAAAGTGAGTCCCTCTTCAGCTATTACTCAAAACTCTCAAAAAAAATTTCTTCATTTTTAAAAGTCACATTAGTATTCCTGAAGAAAGAAATTTATATAGTCATATACCCTTGAAAACAGGTTCCTTTTTCTTTTCTTTTTGACATAAAGAAGTTTTTACAGAATAATTCTTAGATCATCAGTTTAAAGTAATGAACAATTGCAATAACAGATATTAAATTATTTATTTCAACCTCACTACAAAAAAAAATTATTTATTATTATAATTTAATGATACATAAGTATATGATTTTATAGCATCTTGCACTTACACCTTTGAGAATTTGATAATTTCAATTCACATTTATACATATTGAAAATAGCTCATTAATTGTAAACTAGATGTAAATCATTTTTTAAGTCTTGGGGGGTGGGGAATGGGATAGGTGAATTAATTCTATAATATTATTCATATCTGGTTGTATAACTTTTTACATGCGGACTTGCAGACAAAAAATGAAAAAGTTCCATATCATTTCCTTTGGCAGTTAGTTCTTCGATTTTCGTTTGACTTGGGAGTCAACGTTATTTCTGATTATTTCGATATTTCAGGCAAACTTTGTAAAATATATTTATACTTATTATAGTATGTCGAACCAGTAAATTTTCCAGACCAATTGTTATGTAAATCATTTTCTGTTGTACATAATCAACAAGCCCTGAAATACACTTAATAAATAAAATTTTGTAATTGAAAAAAATATGTTTAATTTGGAATTTAGATGTCAAGCAGGCAAATTTGTCTTTGAACTTTATGGAATTTAATTTTCATACAACTATAAAACACCAATCTAGTAAATGTAGATGAATTTTATAATGAATATTATGTTTGTTTTTTTACAAGAGAACAAAACTTAGAAAATATTGATGATAATATTTATCATTTACATAAAGCTTCACCTATTCTTCCTAATAAATTTAATTTTCAACACCTATTTCTTTTTCAATTTTTAATATATTCTTTTCTGAGTATTAATTACAAACAATTGTAAATAATACAAATATATATTCAGCTGTTCATAATGCAAGAAAAGGAATAAATAAAAAAGGTGAAGGTAGAACTTGAATTGATTTAACATTGAAGAATTAAAAAAATATGACTAGCACTTGTTATACTGTATACATATATGGGCATTTTTAAATTCTTGCAATTGAAGATTATTGGACAAAGGATTGTAATTATCTTTCTATGAAATTACTAAATTTATGTTACTGTTTTAAGATTTCAACAAGTAAATACAATTTATTTTATTCTTTTAATAAATTTTTTAATAAAATATACACTGGTCGAATGATCAAAAATCGGCAAATTTTTTGGCAATTCGCACCATAAAATCTGATTTTGATTAATAAAAATGAAAAATCGATCGGTTTTACTTTTTTTTGTTAGTAAAACATCAAAAAATGTTATTAAGTAAATCAATAGCTAAGAAAGGAGGTGTGCTTCTTCCTTAGCTATAGATTTACTTGCTAATGTTTTTGCAATTTAGTTATCACTTAAACCATCCACTTTAGTGATCAAATTTGAACGCTAAAATGAAATAAAGTAAATCGGGTCTAGAACGGAATTTTTATATTAAAAACTTCATTTTAATTGGTCAAAATGATTCTTAAGAACCTGGATCACATGGCAAAATTTTCCATCCGCAGTGTCTAATATACACATGACTTGGAAAAGACTTCCGTTTAATTAATTTAAATAAAATAATAAATAATATTATTTAATATGATTTAAATTTGTAATTTATTGATAAATGAATTGACTGCTTATTACAAATGTAGATTAATTAAAAAGTCTTAAAATAGTTTATTTATTTTGATTAATTAAAAAAAAAAATAAAATCGAAATTATTTTAATTAAAATTTAACTAAAAAGTCTTAAAATAGTTTATTTATTTTGATTAATAAAAAAATAAAATCGAAATTATTTTAATCAAAAAAATATTGAAAAATTATTATTTATAGAGGAAGATATAACTGTAAATATTATTAAATATTTAACAGATAATGAGTTAATTTCTATGGGAGTCAATAAAATAAGGTGAAGAAAAAATATAAAATAAGCTGCTAATAAATATTAGTTTATAAATATTATTTCAATATTTGTATTGATATTTAGTATCATTGTTAATAAAAATATATTTGATTATAAAATATAATTTATTTTATTGCTTAATTTATTTATTTATTTTTAAAAAATACATTGAATTTTTAAAATTTATAAAATATAATTTATTTTATTATTTTTAAAAATTTACAAAATATATTTTATTTTACTTTGATTTATTTATATATTTTTAAAAATATATTGAACCTTTAAAATAATTTACAGCCATTTCAGATATAATTTGTGCAAATGCAATCATTAATACATAAATTGGATCAGTATATGTATTTATAAAATTACAATTTTATTTAATTCAACTTTTAACAATATCAAATGCTGTTTTTATTGAATTTAGATCTGGGAAATATAGTAAAAGAAAAATAATATGACATTCCAATTCTTCAAGAATTTTTACTAAATTTTCATCATGATGAATTTTTGTATTATCAAGAATAATTACATTATTTTTTCCTAGATAAGGATTTATTTGAGAAAGCTAATAATAAAATATTTATTAGAATAAATTCATCAATATATATATATTAGATAATTTATCAATATATTCAATATATTATATAATAATTACTTATCACTTGTGAAAGAACAAAATCAATAAATTTTTTTTTATTACAACTTCCTTCCATAATATCTAAAGTAAGTGCAGGAAAAATTGTATATTATTTTCTATAAACAAAAACTATATTTTTTCTTGCACATATATAACTAGAAGAATATTCATAAAGACGTGAAAATATATGTTCATCTTTAGTACTTTTATCAAGAAAAATCAGTTATTCAGATGTATAATTATTTCCAATAGTTACTATAAAATTACTACAAACTATTTCATTTTTTTCATTAGTAATCTTTTATAACTATAAAAAAAAATATTGTTATTTTATAATATAAAATAAAATATAATAATAATAATTATCAAACTTTTTTATAAGTTATATCACAATTATACTTATACACAAAATTATTTTGAAATCCTGAAATTGTAATTTCGGAAAAAAAAGTTAAAATAGTTTTTCATAAAAGACAAAATTATTTTACTTAAAACCTGAAATTTTTTGACCACTTAGATTTATTTTTTAATTAAAAATACATATAACTAGATATTTTTTTTACTTTTATATATAAAATAGATTTTGCATAAATCTCAAAAAGTTGAAATATCTCAAAAATCCAAAATCAATTTTGGAAACATATATAACTACAATAATGTAATAAGTGCCAAAGTATTGACACAAATATAAACTTTCTAGTTAGTTATTCCATTTCAACTAAAAGTTCATCCAAATACCAGTTAACTTTTTTTTTACAAGTTGTTGAAACATTTGAAATTTATTTTTGAAAATTTCTTTTTTATATTTAGGTACTCCTTTAAATGGATTTATTATACAACCCCATTTAATAAATGTTTTGAGAATATTATTTACAGTAGATTTACTAATAAATAAAATTTTAAAAATTTCTTGCAAATTATGACTTTCACTTTTCAAGTAAATTATTTGTCAGTATAGATCTTTATTATATTCTTGTGGCATCTATAAATTTATTATTCAAAAGGCTAATAATCTATAAAATTGACAGAACAAAAATTGTAATTGTTGAAATCAAAGAATAGAAACTTACTATTATATTTTATAACTCAATAAAAATAAGTATTGATATGTGGATAATTAAAAAATAAAATAAAAACAAGAGTTTTTATTTATTTAATTAATTTTTAATATATGTGATTACACAGTTTTTGCAATATCCACAGTAATTTTTTTATATCACGGATTACCTGATCAAACTATTTCAAAAATAGTAATAAAAATAAAAATAAAAAAAATAAAAAATACTTACCATACCATCCTCGTGAGCTTGCGAAATCTATTTTGACTTTTACAGACATTTTCACAAACCCACAAACCTAATTTTAGAGAGGGAAGGAGAAAGTTAAGTATATTTTATTTTTTTTTTTTAAAAAAAATAATTTTTAAAAATAAAAAAAATAAAAAAATAAAAAAATACTTACTATACTATTTCCGCAAGTTCACGAAATCCATTTTGATTTTTACGAAATCTACAAATTCACAAATCTAGAAGAAGAAAGATAAGTAATTTTTTTTTATTATATTTTTTTAAAAAAAAAAATAAAAATAAAAAACTGATTTCATGTAGTACATTAAAAAATCTTTAATTATTCCATTACACTAACTCAAATATTTTTTTCACACAAATATTTTTTCCACTTTCAAATATTTGAGGTGTTAAAATTAATTTGGAATTTAAAACTTTTTGACTTTTGAATTTCAAATAATTTTGATATATTTTGGCAGCCATAATGTTAAAATAATTTGGAATTTGGATAGTAGATATAGTTGTAAATTTACAGACATTTGTAACTACATCCATTCAAAAATATATAATTAGCTAGCCTTTTCTATAATAAAAGATCAATCATAATTTAAATTATTAAAACTTATTATAATATTGAATGTTAATACTTACTAACATAATGCAAATGCCTTTAATATATTTGTTTGATTTCTACATACAACTGTAATACAATGTGAATCTGATATTGTTTCAATATCAACAAAACAAATTTGTTTTAATAGTTTTGGATCATTTTTTCAGTGAATAGTCATATAAATCATAAATACGATATCTTATGAATGTCATAGGTGAGGTAATTGATTTATCTCACATTCTGTATAAGTTTCTATATTCTATATTAATATTAAACTGTGATCATGTATTATATATGAATTTGGAAATAAATTATTTATTACATCTAAGTTTTTTATAGAATGAAAATTTTTTACAGATATTCTAAATGCATATAAACAAAGAGAAGAACATTTATTATAACTATAATTATTTATTATTCCCACTTTGTAAGAGAAATTTCATATTCATGAGTGACTTTGTGATAATATGTACTAAAATTATCTAATACAGTTTTCAAATTATGTTTTTAGATAATATTAAAAATTATTTTTCTTTGAAAAGTATTTGCTATATAAATTCGTAGATATGACTTTTTTTCTGTATGGTAACCACAAATAGAAAATACTTTTATATACTTTATTCTAATTTTACTTACATTTATGAATTTCTCTTTATTATCCTTTTCATTAGTAAGAATATTTTTTATTTCAACTTCAAATAAATATATATCTTTATTTTCTGGAATTCAGATATTAAAGAAAACTTTAATACCTGTAATAGTTACTACTGCTTTCTTTCCATTGACAAGTGGACCATATAAACATAAGATATAATAGAAAATTTTATTGATATACTCATTTAATTCTTTTATATCAATTGGCATAAAAGATATTTTTTCTTGCTTAGCTAAAGCTTGTTTAAGAATTGAAGTTGGTCCATTCTCATTTTCTCTAACTATATCATTATGAGTAAGAATAACTGATAAATAATCTTCACTAGAGTATCAAAATATTTTGTTATTTTTTGCTTTCCGAAATCTATAATTGAGAAAAAGCTTTAAACCCTTGGTGATAGAAGTCCCTATTATTTTCTTGAAAATTTTAATTATCCATAATTAATATATTGAATGATACAGGTACAATAGACATGCTATGTTCACTTTAAGTACTCATGTTTTTTCTAAAAGTATATTATTCAGAATTAAAAAGTTCAAAATGAAAATTAATTCTAAAAAATATTGATCAGTACCTATTATATATTCAATCAAAATAAACATCAAAAAGAATGACATTTTATCATTATTTTTATATCCTTAGAACTGGAGAAGTCTGTAATTGGGGGTAAGAGGTGCAAAGATCACCAGGATTCACCTATACATGTTCCTTGCAAAGATTGTGATAAGTTAATTTTTTTTAAGTATAGATATTGTAATTCTTATGTATAGAAACATCGTAGAAAAAGTATAGGCAACAAAAAAAATGCTGGAGAAGATGGCACAAAATGGTATTATAAAAAATACATAGTGAAATTAATTGTCACAAGTTGTCCATCTCAAGTAAATATATTGCGTCATATTGAGTTTTAAATTCTTAAAGATATTTATATTTTCGCGTCATAGATCACGTGACCTGAACGAAACACTTTCTTTTCATTTTTTTATTTTGTTTTTCTATCTTTAACTATATTTCTTTCTAAGCGAAACTATCCAACTTATTTAACCCTTTCTTTGTATTGTTTTTTTGAATTAAGATTCTTTATTAATTCTTCTTTCATCATATTTCTATCCTTATAATTCTTATTTTTTTATACCAAATCGCTTCTCTTATCATACACCCCGAAAATCGCTTTCTTACAAAATAGATTAAAGTTCTATTAGTTTATAGTACATTTTATTATTGTTTTATAGTGTCATCAACACATCTTATCATAATTTATTAGCAGAATTATCAATTTCTCCTGTCTTCTATATATTATTATTGTTTTTCCATACTTCCAACCCACTGATCACTGCCGTGCTAAACCCAAGCACTTTCTTGTACTTTCCCCCGCTCTCCCAACAGGTAGTATCAATGTGTTAAATGAAATTGCAACACACTTTCGGGAAATACTGGTTCTGTGAAAGAAGATCTTTAAAAAGTTGCATCTTTCGATTCTATTTTTGAAGAGAGGCACAAAATATTTTTGATATTTAATAAATAAACATTACGCAGTGATAAACTGTTCGTTCGACACTTTCTTTGAGAGGTGCTGAAACTCTTAGTTTACAGCGGTAACCTCAACTCTTAGTTTGAAGTTGAGCTCTTAGCTCGAAACTCTCCTTTGATTTGTTTTTAGCTGAAACCTCGTATTGTAAAATGAATTGGTAATAACTGATCCATTTTTTAAGAAACGGTCCGCTCCAATAAAGAAAGGATCAAAAACGAAATATGACTTGGATCAAATAAACATGGATATTGTACCAGGATGTAAATTTCAAATTTGCTTCTAAGTTATTTTCTGAAGGGAAAACGTTATGAAATGTATGAGTTAATTGTGAAAATGAATTAAATAGGAAATTTGATTAATTCTGGTTTTTGATTTCCTTTTCCTCAAAGAGCACATTTAAAAAGAAACTTATCAAAAAAAAAAAAAATTTTGGAATGTTTTTACTCTTTTTGTCTTAGAAATAATATTTCAGATAGATAATATATATTGTATATTAATATAAAATCAAAATTGATCCTTTAGTAGTAAAGAAAATTTATAGTTTTCTTAAAGGAAAAAATAACAATTTTTGAATTTTGAAGATAGTTTGAACTATATATGTGATATTATAGTTATCACAAGATTATCTTTTAATTTTTGTTAAGTGATCGATGCATATATTGTTCACACGTGCACACATACATGCAGATTCTGTATTACTAATCAAAAAAAAATAGAAATTAATATAAAAAATTAATTGTCAACATTTAAACGATGCCTTCTTCTTCTTCTCACACCAAAATCATTGACGAATTATCCGAAATGGTAACTTCACATGTTTCTTTTTTACAATCCGAACAACAACAACAACAAAACAACAATGACATAAATAATGACATTAACAATTACAAGGACAATGACATAAATAATGACATTAATAATAATAAGGACAATGACATAAATAAAGAAGATACCAACACCACCAAGGTTTTTAATGATATTTCAAATAATTTAGTAGTAGATAATATTGTAGATGAACCAACATCAATTCCAACTCAATCTTTACCACCACCATTATTTACTTTTCATTCAAATATGCGAAATATATATATTAGTCCTGTAACAAATCCTTCAACAATTCCACGAAACAAAAGCGACATTTATAATGATAATAATAATAATAATAATAATAATAATAATAATCACAATAACAACGATAATAATAATAGTAATGATAATAGTGATAATATTAAAAATAATGATGATAATGATAATAATAATCATAATAATAAAATATATGATGATAAACCACCTAAATGGGATGAAATATGTTTTCAATGGTGTAAACAACAAGATAAAGATCGGGAACATGGATTAAATCCAACTTGCAAAATGTTTTGTTTACGTAGAATTAATAACATTAACAATATTAATAACAACATTAATCATAACATTAACAACAACAACAAACATAATAATTCTATAGCTGAAATGTTATATGGAAATAATAATAATAATAATAATAATAATAATAATAATAATAATAATAATAATAATAATAATAATAATAATAATAATA